ATTCGCTTCAAACTCGGAAAAGTTAGTTGATACAAAAATGATCTATATAATTTTTCGATTAAGCCAAGTGTTTACGGGACAAACATCAAAGTCTAACAAAGAAAATAGACACAATTAAAAAAAAAAGACAATTTATGGTAGAGCAGTAAATTTTATACAAAATTACGAACTCTGCAATTGAAAATGCTTTTTTTTCATTGAGTTAAATAATCCAAAAGAAAAAAACCAAATTGCCTTAAAATAGTCAAACTTCAACCGTTAATATCTTTTAAACGGTTAGGTTTACAAAGAAACCGTAAGACACCATTTTGTAATTTCCAATAAAATCTATAAAACGAGATATTTTTTCAAGTAGTAGGAAGCGAGAATTAATTTTTCTATCTGATTATACAAAAAAATAGAAAACCGTTAGTAGGAGGACCTTCCCGTTACAATTAAAAACTCATACTTGGAGAGCCTGTCTTAGAGGTGTCTATCAACCAATTTTTCTTAGTGCGAAATGAAAAACAGCATTCGTTTTTTGACCCACCCTAATGTACAAGTATATATTGTTTCATTACAATATACGCATTGCCTGTTTGATTTCTTTCTTCTAGTATGCACGTTTTAGTACAAGTAAGTGCACACAAATTTAAAATTAAACTAATATTTTCGGAAATGAACGGCAATACTAAGGCAGCCCCCGAAAATAGTATGGAAATATATGCCGTTTCTACTTAACATATAACATGATTATTAGTTATCATGAAGAGCGACTTGTAGAGTGAGATCATAATAAATAGACATACATATAAAGGTAAAAAAATAATTAACGAGCAACTTTTTCCAGTTAAAAAAGAACTTGATATCAAATTACTGTAATAAAGCAAAAGCTGGAGTTTTTATGATCCTCAGCTCAGCGTACGAGGTGGAAAACCAATTCAGTGTGGAAACTCGAAAATATTTGATTTCTACCACTTAATTAATTGCCCGAAACTTTTAACACCTATCAAGATTAACATCTGCTGAAGACACTGTCGTATAAAGACTACCAAATATTTAAAAAATATTTATGAGTTCCACCGGAAATGGAAGTCGATTAACTGTGAATGCCACAAAGCGCAGTGCTTATAAAAGCAGTCTCAGATACCAAACTGGGCGCGAGTGTGTTAAAAATTAATTGGCTGAAATACTAAACTTTAGCTAAATAATCAACAGCATACCCACACGCACACGCACACGGTGACTACAGCAGAGAAAACTTGAATAAAACCAAATACGTGGTACGCATTTCAGCGAAAAAACTGAATTGATGGCAATAAAAAGGGCCGGTAATGCGACACCTGTGTCCGTCCGTCGTATTAAGGCGTGGGCAATAGCAGTGCGCTGACACTTAATTGTATGAATGCCCGTTTACATACCGGCGCATGAGATGCTGGCAAGCGCACCGCTTGTACACACATACATATTTACATATATACTGCATATCTTGCATATTGAGTTGTTAACGCTTTAGTGTGTGAGCCGAATAGAACGGGCGTTTAGTTGTCTGCCGCCTCATTACGTCTGTTCGCCAATGATGCAATCGCTGCTTCAACATCTGCTCATCCGCCGCGACTCCGCACAGTACAGCAGCCCAATTGCGCACCTAGACCTTTTGTCGCCAAAACCATTGGCCGCTAAATCGCGCCATTCACTGCATGGACTTGACTTTTGGTGATGCGTAGATGCACCGCCGCTGGTCCGCCGCGCATACGCTAATCTCGCACTCAACATCAGCTTACGGCAGCCTGCGTTCACACAGACAGTAAAAAACGTGAAGGCAATAAAAGTGTAGTCTCGCTCCAGACACGGCGGCGCGTACGTATGCAAAGGCAGTTGCTCTCTCACAACTATCCTGCCGACCGCCGTCCGCCGGCCGCGGAGCTACCAAACAAGCGACTAACTAACTGTCGACTATCAAGATATTAAGAAGCAGTAATTCTTCGTTGCCTTAGTTTAATGCCGAGTGACCCAAAGTGCCTCGCCATTCAACTTTTGATACCAAGAAATGCGCGACCGCGTTTTGTGTGCAATTAATTAAGCCAAACGCTTATGCTTTCATTTTTTAGAAAAAAGGCTTTAACAACTCTAATTAGTTGTTGTTTCGGTTAAAAAACATGCAACAATGTGTTTTAACATACCCAAATGTCCCAAATAATACACACATACACGCACAATCGCGACATATTTGTTGGCTTAGGGTTTCGCTCATTTGTTGCTAATCGAGAAGAATTATTGTACTGGGGAGTGGTAGGCAACTAAAGCGCGGCTTTCGATAAAGTGTTGCACGAAATTGTTCCGAGAAACGCTTGGCGACCGAGTTCATTGTTGAACTTTTCGTATTAGCTTTATATGCATGTCTATACAGCAGATTCTCTACCTCAACTAAAGCTATGTCGGGCGTATTCCTTTTATAAGGCAACATTATATATAGTATATACATATCAGGGTACAAGGTGTCTGATCGCAGTATATGCTTTACTACCATAATACTAAAAGTGTGAGCAGTCTTCGCACACTTTTCCGAATAAGCTTTTTAAAGTTTTTTACAGCAGACACCTTGACGCTTTTAATTTGTAAAAAGGCTCTGAGACTACTGATAGTCAGCGATTTTAAAGGAGCATCTTAACACCCCCAACTTGAAGAAAGGTGTTCAAACTTGTGGTGTATCCTTCGGTGTTGTTCTGCTATGTTTGAAAAGAAAATTGGTATTATGTGGACATTATTTTGACAAGTATGAAACCGTTAAAGAAAATATACCAACTAAAAATTCACAGACTTATCTAAAAGATCTCTTATTTCCAAAATACAGAAAGAGGAAGGTTTGAGTTATGAACTTATGATATGAGACCAAAGCACAATATCTGAATTATCTGCCAAAATACGTTTTTCAAAATCTCTCATTTGCTGACTTTAATGATTCTCACTCTCTTCTAAGGGACAAAGTTAACCAAAGAGACAGAGATGAGTAAAATCGGTACATGAGGATAATGTCTAAGCACCTTTAATCTAATTCCACTCAGGTAATACTCAGGAATTATATAGAAGATGTAAAGTCAACCAGAAAGACGAAAATTATTTTATTTTGTGTATAAAAAAACAACGAAAATATTGAGCTTATATTGTATATTGAGTCAACCGTAAGCATGGAGAAGACAGTTGGGTTTAAATACATAATAAAATCCTCTATATGAATTGTCTTCAAGAAAACTTTTTAGCAAATCAACGAAATTATACAGAAGAAAGAAATGTACTAGTAAAATAACATCAACTGACCAGATCAGAAAGTGTCTCGAAATTCTGTTGCGGATATCTTCTATTTGTTTTGTCAATAAATGCAATTTTCCAGTACTCTGAGTCTTAATCGCACAATTTTATCATTTTTATAATTTTTATAAGAAAGTAAATTGCTCATCATAATCATCATCAACACCTTTATTCCGTACACTTCAAATACCTTTTACTCACTTATCACTTTAGCGAGACCTGCATTCGATAGTCAAATATATAATAAAAATATATAATAAAATAGAATAATAAAACTGGTAAACAAAAGTAAACTTTTTTTTAAGTTTCTAAACTGTTTCTTACTAATTTGACGTCGCTGATTACAAATCTAGATTACATTAGGAATAAATTTCGCTTTCTATGCGCTTATAGTCTTTGCTAACAAAAATTTTAATTTTTTTCCAAGCTGATGAGAAATAAGAATGACATTATGTATGAAAGCAATGAAGAAGACTTTTTTATTGCATATAAATATAACAGAAATACTCACCCTCGTAATGTAGATCAATATATGTAATTTTGTATTTTTTCAAAGACTGTGTTCTTTCCGCTCAATCCTTGTCACTCTTTGGAACAGTTTCTATCACTGAGTATCATACTTACAAGATACTGAGGAAAATAAGACTATTAATTCATTTAATTTTAATGTTTATTTGTATACCCTGAACAGGGTATATTAAGTTTACCACGAAGTTTTTAACATCCAGAAGGAACCGTTAGAGACCCTATAAAAGTTATACATAAATGATCAGCATGATGAGCTGGGTTGATTTAGTAATGTCCGTCGGTCCGCCTATCTGTCCGTCTGTTCGTTCGTCCGTCTGTCTGTATATATACAAACTAGTCCCTCAATTCTTAAGCTATCGATCGAAATTTTGCACCTGTCCTTTTCTCACAAAGAAGCTGCTCATTTGTGGGAACGGCCGATATCGGACCACTATAGCTATACAAACTGAACAATCGGAATCAAGTACTTGTATGTGACACTTTTTAATTTGACGAGGTATCTTCACGAAATGAAGTAATAAACAATTCGGCTTCTCAACTGTATGCGTTCACACGAGCGAAAAGAGTTCAGCAACTCGAGTCGGGTTTTTCTGTCATTCCTTTTCACAAAGTTTTCGCAAATGTTTGTGCGGTTCGGCTATGCGACACTTAGAGCGTGTTGCATATTTCATTTATGGTCTCACATTTTGCTTGCAAGGAATTACCGTGAATGTGATAGAACAATATTTAGAATACCTGCTATTAATATTTTCAAGGAAAAACTTATGACGGAAATTCACTAACCCATCAGAGTGTACTAAATATCCGCTATTTATATTTTCAAAGCCAAATTTATGACGGAAACTTCCCAATCTATCGAACAGTATATACCCGTAATTTGTTTAAGCCATATTTTTTCTATTTATTACAAAACATTCACGAATTAGTTATATTTCTTGTTTAAAAAAATTATATTCGAATACAATCCTTTGCGTTTAAAATAAATAAATATGCACGCATCCTAATATAGATAGGTATGTATAAAAAAGTAAAAGTAATTCCGTTTTTATAAAAGTTCGTTTATATATACAAGTATTATTATGTTTAATACAGCTAAATGTTATTAAATATTTAAATTAAATATTTTTGAGTTTCTTATTTTTATTCTAATTCACCATTTTACAAAATTCTATGCATGTGTGCATATTACATACAAAAAATAGATGACAAAATTCAAATTTCGGAATGATCGTATATATTCATTTGAACCCGAGCACGAGCGGCACGGGACTTCGTCTTCCTCGTTGTTCCCTCGTCTACCGGAGCCAACCGGTTTGGGCTACAAAAGACTTCGTGTATAAACTGGCTTAAAGAATCTTAAAACGGTTATGCTTTATTTGACTTCACTTTTTATAATAAACCCAAAAAATCAGGTCATAAATTCTTTATTCCTTTTTAAAATTTTTTTTGATAGTGGATTTTCCATGAAATGTTGTGCGAGAACGTGAGCTTGACATTTTCTGTACCAAATTTCACGCGTCCTAGCAATGACACTTGCATCAGCTTCCACAACAGTATATGTATGTGTTAAAATGTATGTGTATGTATGTACCTTATATGCAGAGATATTGGCGCAGTCATTAACTCTGGTATTTTTTAATTACCTCACGGGAGCCTGGTTCCTGGTATTCTGTATTTAAACTTCCGAAAAATCCTTAAATTCGTGCAATCAGAAGCGTTTTCGGCGATGATGTATGTTTTTATGAATCTCATTTCATAAAACCCGTAAAACTCGATTATCTCTTTATATCGCAAGGGTAGGAATGCCTCTAATCTCGCCAAGGCCGTGCAAACTGTGACATTTCATTTCACTGTAACTGTGTTGCAGTGATGCGGTGCAAGTGATGAAAGACTTGGATAAATAAATACATAAAAAATTAAATCATATACAAAGTTCATGCGAACAAATTCTGTGTATGTTGCAACATTTTCTTGATAACAAAAGACATAAAATTGAAAATGTTCTCGGGTATTATGTACTCGAACGTCTTTATGGCTTCTGTGTTGAGCACTCGGTCTACCAGTCAACCATTACCTGGCTTTGGCCAGGCTTAGTGCAAGGCATGTTTCATACATATTTTTTTTATAGCAGTTATATTTATTTTCGTACACAAACTGTAGATAGGTGATCCTGATAATACTTATTTGGTTTTATCTAAAATCTCTAATAACTGGCTACTCAACCTTAAAGTATTCTTTTGTGAAACGGGTTTTATTAAATTTTGGGCATACTTCATAATTAACACAAACACCAACATAATAATATCAAATAGTTGATGATAAAGGACCTTACATTGTCGCCTGATCCTGAAAAAGGGGCGCACTTTCTGCTTTCTTCTTTAAATAAAGATTAGTTATAGTGTCAGTATTGCGGACTGCACAATTTATTTTAAAATTGCCTCATACCAGAGCATTTTAGTAACGCTTATTCTAAGTAATCTCTATTTAATAGACTTAGGAATCAGAAACGGCCCAACTACTACTGTGGGTACCGGGCACCGGGGCTTCTTTTTTTATCACATCATCTTATTAGTAACTTCGACGCAAAGTACACCAAATACTTGGGTGTGAAGAAATAACAGTATGTATTTAATATGTTTTCTCATACCCTATACCTATTTATCGCTAACAATAAAAGCAACGCAATGCCATTCCGATTATTTCTGAACTGGAAGCAATTTGTGGTTTCGTACTAACCACCGCAAGCCCTTTATTTATACGATCAAATACACTATGGTATAGTATTATATTTGTAAATATGTAACGAAGAACACATTTTGTTTGCCGTAAATGTTGCTTATGACTGCCGCTAATTTATAAGAGGCAACCGTAAGAAACTGGTATGCTCTTGCATAACTGTAATTATGTGAAGTAAGTGCAACTTGGGAAGAACAGCAGCTAAATCATAAAAAATCGTTACTAAAATGGTCTAAATCTAACCAAAACTGTTCAAGCCCCTAAGTACTAAATATATGGACCCCAGTGCCTATAGTTGACCTTCTACCGAAAATATCAGTCAATCCACAAAGAAATCTCAAACGAGTATACCATTTGACTTTGCGAGAGTATAAAATGTTCGGTTACATCCGAACTTAGCCCTTCCTAACTTAAAGCTAAAATAGCGGAACTCATTGTAAAATTTAATAGGCTTCATTCAGCATTTCAAATGCATAAAACGCTTCCTAATTTATTCATTTGAAAATTTTGTCACATTAGTAGACAGCTGATTCGAATATTGGTTTTGCATATGTTCGAAGAGACGCAAATCCAATCAGATTCTGTGACACCATTCAAAATCAGAATTGGTTTGCAATTCTGACAACTACCCAAATCTGTCTTGAATTCCACAACACCCCTGATTGACTGATATATATGGCTTATCTTATGTTAGGTATATGAGAGATAGGGTAGTATTGACCCGATTTTCATTAAAGTACCTCACATACTGTCACCAACATATATGAAGTAAAATCAACCCGATGTTTGAGAGTTTGGTTATTAGTTATATGGGGGCTAGAGCAAGGTTTCACCCGATTTTACTTATTTTAGGCACAAGAATACACGGTGGTTAGGAAAATACGTTCTCCTTTATTTTTTTAGATAACTCACATATTGGCTGATATATGTGGTGTAGAGTCACCCAGAAGTTCAAAAATCTTTATATTAGGTTTATGGGAGGTAAGGGAAATATTGACCTGATTCAACCCATTTTTGACACTCAGACGTATTATTAATATATATTAGGTCAAGTAAAAAGTTCGTTCGGGTTTTATCTAAGATATGGCGTTATTGTCCATAGTACTAGTGTTACGTGTAGCATCATGTCATACTATACGGCGCTGAAAACGTGTTTATTCGCGCTAAAAGTTTGTCTTTGACAGTTTTTCGATTGATTGACTCAGTACGTTGTGAGCGCGCGTCAAAGATGAACACCAGCACAGAGAATATAATATAATATATCTCACAAAAAAGTCAACTATAGGCACGAGGTCCACGCCACAATCCGGGGCTACGTCCATTTTTTCACGATTTTCAAACCACAGATGCCTCTCATTAACAAGATTCGTTGTGCCAAATTTTAGTTCTTTATCTTAATTTACGGCTTAATTATTGCACTTTATACGTTTTCAATTAAAGCCGTTTTGTGGGCGTGGCCACGGAACATGTGTATCAAGTTTCATCAGTATATCTTAATTTTAACGCAAGTTACAGCTTGCACAGACAGAGGGACGGACGGACAGACAGACGGTCATCCGGATTTCAACTCGTCTCGTGATCTTGATCATTTATAGCATTATATCTATCTCGATTAGTTTTAGGTGATACAAGCAACAGTTAAATGAAAAGATCTATTATATTCTGTAGCAACATGTTGCAAAAGTATAGTAAGGAAATAGGTTGTGACCGAGAGGATCTAATTATTTCCCCCAAAACTATAATGCAATTAGGCATCATAACGATGAAAAGCAATTAATCGAAGAAGAACAAGAATTCCCGCAAGAAAATCGCCGCATCAGTATGGGCCGACTTTGCGCTTGCCAATTCCACAACGAAACTCAAAGTATTCTTCACCATTGAAGAAGTTCGCATATTGAAGATGCCGGTGATCCCAACCAATATTCCCAGTTAGCTAAAACGTATCACTTCGTTCATTGATTACACTTAACATAAGCGTTGCGGATTTTCCAACCTCTTTCGGTGCAGAATTGTGGTCACCTGAACGTTGTTTATGAAAGCAAGCTTAAGGGTTAATCAAGATTCTGCTTTAAGGACCCTTATTTATGCGACTTATGCAAGTCGCAGTAGATATCAAATGCTCAATCTATCTAATCGCGGCTCCTTTATATTCTCCTATTCTGAGTGGAACACTAATAAATACCTACAAGCACACCTGGCTACCAATTTGAAAAGTGAAAATTCGTATGCAGTGAATTGAAAGTTGACTTATAAGTTACAGTTATAAATAAAGTTTTGTACACTTTCAAAATGATCGCCAAAAAATATATTTTCATTACTTGTTTGTTGACAGCACTTTTATTAATTGTAAATTTTCCTTAGGAATAAACGCTTTACATCACATGGATTTGTACCAGTTATATCCAACATTATTAAGGATGGTAAACAGGTTGCAGGGCCACACGATGCCAAATACTCACCAAAAAACGTGATGAATATACCATACTTGTATGTTATATAATTATTAACAAAGAAAATTTTCACAATAAATTTGATTTTATGTTATAGCTGTACATGACTTGCTTAATTAGTGATGAGATTCAATAGTACTGCAGGATATTGTATTCAATTTTACTGCCTAACTTTTTTATGGCTTTCAAATAGACTGTTTGACAAGGAAATTAAAATTTTATAAAAAAAAACAAGTCGGGTGTAACCGAACATTTAATGCCCTCGAAACTTTCAAGCAAGAAAGCCGGGGTTATACCTTCAGGTATTGGCAAAACTTTGTATTAAAAAATGTTGCGAAAGAATTCAACATTCATTATTCGAAGAAATCGTGAAAGGATTACACTCAAAATAGGTATCTTAATGGCTTATGTAGATTATAAGTCGTATACTTACTTAGTTTCATTACTAAACTTTGCATGTCCGAAATACTAATATTAAATAGCCTAAGTAGCTCTAATAAGAATATGTATGTGACATAAACTCAATCAAAGTTAAATTTATCTCCGGACCTACTAGACCAATTTTAACAAATTTTAGTACATAGGACCAGTGTACAAATCAAGAACCAATCAATAGATCCGAACCACCTTATGACTAAAAATGTCCTAATGGGACAAAAAATTCAACAAAATTTCTAAAAAACAAGCCGGTTAAGTGTGAAGTTGGCTGCGAAAAAATTAAATATGATCAGCTGTTGTCATCAAACCAAATTACTTAGTGAGCAACCCAATATATTAAATTTAGCATCTTGGTTGAGTTTATATCACATTATAATTCATACGAATGAATTAGGTTGATTTTTATGAAAATATCTCGGACCTATATACATATTGTATGTGATACGAGTCATGTGAAGAAAGATAATATTATATTTTAGCTGTACGTGTGTGCTTTCGTCAAAAATTTATGGAAAATATTAATTGTTTTAAACTACATTTGATGATTCTCATTTTTAAGGCAGTCATCCTACCAGAAGTTACAGCGGAAGATTCAGTTTTGGTGAAGGTGGTCAAACCGGAACCGGAACCTATGTTATATCTAAATTAACCTTTAGATCCAGTAAGATTTCTACAATAAATGTTACGAGCGTATAAAAAACTATTTGTAAATTATTTATAAATAGCCTGAAAGGTATGCAATGATTTTTTTGGTGATTTGATTTGACTTGAAGATTTAGCTGGGATAACTCATTAGTTTTGACAATAATCGATGAGCGATCTCATGAGGATCATGCATAAAAGCATATTCGCTACCCCATTATGATACTAGGAGTTTATCATAGATTATTTTGTAAAACATGTTGTTTATACCAAAAGCAGATGTACACACGATGCATATGTACGAAAATACCAATATGTATACAATATATAAAGGTTTTAATACTTTGCAGAATGGAAGAAAAGGGTAGCACGAAGCGTGTCGTCGAATCAATTTCCTTACATCGTTGTCTAAGGAGCTTACAGAATCTAAAGCTGTGCTCCCAACGATGAGAAATATGAAATAATAAAAAATGTGCATTGAACGCGTTTGGTGTACGTATCTTACTTATTAGCGGCCTGATTTCTATTCACCAACATTGTTTGCCACTTCACCATTAAGTCATCAAGAGGCGCAGTTACAAATATGGAGGAATACATGTGTTTATGTGAAACTTTTTCAAAATAT